CGGGAACAGCCACCTGGTAATGCAGTGTTTTGGATATGTTATATCATCCCTAGATGCTAACTGATGTCTCTAGGACTGAACTGTATACACTACTTGATGGCTGTAGGATCGATAATGGGCTTAGGTCAGTCGTTCAGCACAGATTGGAGGGAACCGATACCGATATCAGTACAGTGATGAAGTAGCTCTGAAAAAAGGTTATAGTAATTTCACTCTGAATTATTACCTTTCTCTGGTAACAAAGGAGATGTATCACCATATTTACTGTTACCATTCCTGGAGGAGAGGCCAAAACCTGTCAGACATTTGCCGCTGACTGACTTTATTAACATTGCACAGTTGTAATTTGAGATAATCTTTGGTTGCGGGGTTAAATACTGAAATAGAGGATATTCTCTCAATGTTTTAGATAAAAAGCTTCCATAGTTAAGTCAATTCTTTAAAAAAAAAACAAAAAAACTAAAAAGTTGCTTGGTCAATGTCATATCTGTTAGTTTCAAAATCATTGTATCTTTGTTTGGTCTTCTCCTGAAAAATGTTAATTTGTTCTGAGAAAGGGCCTCCTAGAGTTGTGTTTGTGACAGGTTGCTTAATGGCTGGCAATCAGCTGGGAGGGCCGCCTAACCGAGTTCGCTCCGGGCCCGGTAACACGGGTGCCCCCGTAACAAACTCCCCAGCGATTCCTGCCGGCCCCAGGGCGATGAGGAGGCACCAGCGGGGATGGGGGGGTGCAGCTGAGGGGCTCTCCGAAGCTGGCAGCCCCGTGACGGGGGTGCTGCGGGCTCGCTCTCACCCCCGGTTCAGCCTGCGGTGTTTGCGGACCGCTTGCCTTCGGCCCTTTAGCTGCTACAGCCTGGATCCTGAGCTGGTTCTGCTAAGGACGGCCACGGATCTCGCCCTTCGCACACGGGTTTGGCCGTAGGAACCCCTGCTCTGGAATGAGCTTCTCTTCCTTCCAGACGTAGCTCAAGAAATCGCGTGTTGTACAGGGGAGCCAAAAGGCCCCGCGGAGCGACGCTGCCCCGTGCCCGCCGTCCCCTGAGGTGGGAGTGAGCGGGGAGGAAAACGCAATCGGCTGTCCTGTGCCCAACTGTAACCGAAGACGTTTCGGGGGGAAAAAAGCACCTCCACTGTACAGACTGGGGAAGGTATTTCTTCCTGGTGACTTCTCTGCTTATAGACAGTAAGAAATAATGGCAAGCTGGACTAATTGCATTATTGGATAGACATTTAGCCTTTTAAATCCAAAGCAGTAACGACCTGTCTGAAGACGTGCTGAGGTAAGAGGCCTTCTGGAAGGATGTTACTCCCTGTTAAAGATGGAATAAGAAAAACCGTGTAGCTTTGCTTAGGAAAAGCAACGTGTGGTGAGGTTGGGATAAAGCAGAATCTCGGAGCAGAGACGAGACGCTGGAACGCCAGCTCCAAACAGGGAGCGGGGCCAGGTGCCCTCCAGACACCGCTAGCCCCTTCTCTCAGGAGCTTTTCCAACTGTGAAATTGCAATGTTAATACTCCATTACCATCTGTTCCTTTCAGACATGTCGAGGTGATTAATTTGTCTTCTTAAGCCCCTTGAAAATGAAAGCAGTCTGTTTGTGCTAAGTAATACTGTTAATTGGCAAGAGGGAAGGGGGCAGCGCGTGGGTTTACGAGTTGGAAATAAATAATTCTAATCAACTCCTACGATACCAGTTAAATAACCTGGTGGGACTCACTGCGTCAGTCGCTTGTGTCTTTCCCTTTCAGGGGGCTTTAGGACTCCCAGGAGCGAAGCGAGTTTTGGTTTCTACGTTTTATTTCTTTTCCCTCCATTCAGAACTACGGATCTGAAACGAAGAACGCAACGTGGCCTCTTGAGCTTCTTTCCAAAGCCTCGTTATTTACACAGGTCACAAGATCCATCTGACCCTCTGCAAATAAGGAGACTCTAATGCCTGTGAGCCTGTGCGTAGAGCCCCGGGCTGCTCACGTCTGCAAGCGCTGCGTGCCTGCTGAGGGAGGGAGCCGTGGTGCGTTCTGCTGATGTTACAGCCCGGGGCGTCCCCCTCCCCTGCCCTTCTACAGGGGTAGCTCTAGAGACCCGCGTGGTTTATAAGGGGGAAGAGACGGGTAAGCTTTGTGGGTGACGTGTGGGTTAGTGAGAATTTTGTTCCTTTTCTCGCTCAAAAAGAAACTTGCGGCCAAAATTTCTGCCCGCTATAAAGACGGGTGTGCTCCTTTTTCATCTCTGCAAGCTGGAACGAGTGTACCCATTTTCTGTGGGGCAGCACCCCTGTCCCAGGGCAAAACCAGTGCTGTGGAGTCGTTGCTTCCTCGGGGAGCTCCTTCACAAGACTAAGCACACAGTCGCTTGTGGCTTTTACTGCCGGTCTGCATCAGCGAAGGGAACGGTGCGTATCCTTTGCCATGGTCACTTGGATGTCCGGCTTCCATCTTTCTCAGGCTGTAGCCGTGCTGGGTCTTGAGCTGACGGCCATCACACGTACAAGGGCCAATGTGTTCAGATAGCAGAGTACTAAGCTGTAGCTTGTAAATCTTTAGAAGCATTAATCCTATCTAATATGTGACCTAAACAGATGTCATCTATCTTATTATCAGCCTTTCAGTACACTACGGGCTACGCCACTCAGATGACATGTGAAGGAAGCTTAGAAAACAAAGCAGGGAAACACAAGCAAGGAGACGGCACTGCAGACCTCCATCCCATTCCAGCCGCCTCCTGCTCGCCAGCGGGCAGGAAAGACAACTCCAGCAACAGCGGTGTCGCAGGCGGCTCAGCGGTGTAACGAAGGAGAGGTTTTGTCCCCCCGTGGTGTTTAAGGTAGTGTAACGCAACGAATCTGGGTCAAGAGCTTTTCGTGAACTCCTGCTGGCCAGGATTACATCCCCTAGCTCCACCTGGCGCACAGCCCGGCAGTACAGACCCACTCTTCCTCCCCCGCGCTTTCTGGTCCCTGCTCACCTCCTGCGATTTTTACTGTAAAGCAGAGGGGGGGGTGGCAGCTCCCTGCGCAGTGAACCTTGCTGAAACACCCTTTCCTTTGTGCCTTCCACTGCTGACGGGCAGCTCTTCGCCGTGCACGAAGCACACAGAACCATCCCGGCTTGGGTGCCGTGGCCTGGCCTGCGCTGTACCGCCCTGACAGCAGCGGCAGGAGCTGGCTTTTCTGGTTCTTCCCCTGCCACAGACACAACGCCCTCAGCAATGACACATGCATAGAAAGTCAGCCCTTTCATCTCCTCTGATTGCTTTTTGCAGCGGTTTGCAGAAAATTTGCTTACCCTGCCTCTGGTGCTGGCCGTAGTGCAAGCTGCTTCACCCCAGATTGGGACTGGGCAGAAATTCCTGCGTGTAGGTAGGTTTAATGCTGTCTTGTGTTCTTATTGCCTGGAAAACCCTCCAAATGCCATTGCCTCAGAGAATCCAATTTTAGGAAAGCCTGTATGTTAATTTGAATCCATGGTGTGATGGGTTATGTTGTAATTTCTTCCTTGTTTTCACAGTGATCTGTGTTTGCTAAATGTTACGCTTTTTTCAGCACCTGCCTCACTCTACCAGTAGAATTAGGGGTCAGTTTGGTGCCACGCTGCTGTAGCTGCTTTCTTAAAAAAGATCTCAGAAGAAGATGAGACAAGCGTTTCTGAGAAAGCAGCGGAGACCTGTTTTGACTGTGTGACGCCTGTTGTGCAACAGCCCACCTCTCCACTTAAATGAGAGCAATCCCTAGAGCCGTGACACAGCACGGCTGTCAGATAAAACAGCCCTTGGGCTTTAAAGCCTGCACCGAGAGTCCTTTCCTGCTCCAATTTTGACTGGAATATGTGTGTGCTGTATTAATACATTTATTATAGGGGGGGGGGGGGGAAGTTCACAATGTTTAGTGACCAAAATCACAGAGCTGTTTCACCACAGGCTGAATCTATGTTTGTGACAGAACACGTTTGCTGAAGTAGGCTGAAGCTTTGTAAAAAGAGGTTTATGTTAGTTAAAAATTGTTTGAAATTATACGCTATTTACATGCCCCCCTCCCTCCTAGCGTGAGCCCTTCGGTGCTGTGCCTGAGCGCTGATGCCGAGACCTTGCCTGGGGCTGCAGAAAGCGGGGACAGGCATCTCCTCTGCTTTCACCGCCCTGGAGGCCCTTCCCTCCTGCTCGAATAGAGGTGTTTGCGGTGGGGCTGGCGCCAGGGTCTTATTTAGGTTCTTATTTAAGCTTTTTGCTATTTCTCTCACAGAAAAAATGGAATATCTGGGTATTATATGCCTTTATACAAAATAGAGTACTTCTCTCTATTGGGGGTATTAAATTTGGAGGCACCTACCCTGTGCCAGACACCAGCTCTTTCCTGTACCACTTTCCCACCTTTCTAGCATTGCAGAAGCCAACTGTCTTTTGCTAAAGATGATTGATAACAACCTCGCCTAGTTTAAGCTCATCTCCTCAACCCTGCTGTAACAAGCAGGAGGTAATGAACGATCTGGAGAAATACATTGTGCAGGATCAAGCGCTGTTTGTTTGTTTGTTTGTTTTTTAATTCAAATGCAAAGCGAATCCCTGGGAATAAATAGTTTTTCAGAGACACTGTCTTGAAACCAACTCAAACTTGGTTTCATGCCCAGTTATCGAACACTAACTGCTCTCCCTTAGCCTGCACCTGAGCTATCCTCCAAGCAACCGAACGCGAAGCGGCTGCCCTCTCCCAAAAGCCAGTCACCTGCAGGCTGAGAAGCGTGGGGGCTTCAACCCCTAAACTCAGTTCTTCAGGAAACCATAGGTGTCTGAAATTTTAGCAGTGAGCTCTAACACTTGCATGGGAAACTTTTCCATTGATGTTCTGATTTCTTAAATTTACGGCATTTTTAACATCCCAAGTTGTGCCAGGCAAGTATTCAAAATACGACTGTGTGGTGTATGCGGAACATGACTAAGGATTTATGTTTAATATTTATCTCCTTCCTCAATATTTCCAGTTTTAGGAGCCACCGAGTCTAGGATCAATGAACCACTCTTGGGATGTGACTTTGTTTAGTGAACGTATTGCAGGCTGGCCAGCAAACTGTGGCAGAGGGTATTTTCGGCCAAACGCTGCAGGGAGAATTACATCAGGCACTGAAGCAAAGCCACACTCCTGGCCTTGGCAAGTCTCGTTACAGCTATGCACACACAGCCTTCGCCACAATTTTTCAGTGACACGTATATCGATGTCTTGGAAGAGGTTGCTGATGAAGTCAGTAACATACTGACAGAAGACAAATAACACTCGTGTGTTGGCACGTTTTTGCGTAGCTGTTGGGTCATCCCTGCTGGTGCTGAAGGTGTGGTCAAGCCTATTGTAACCCACAAAATACACACGGACACTCCTCTCGTTTGCAAAGCACGTGTGAGTTGCAGTACCCATCCGTCATACCTGAACCGAGCGTGCTTGCCACTTGATAGGTGGGAAGACATTTGCTTTCTGGCCATCGAAGAATCTCCCGTTTCTGCCAACAGCTATGCGTACATGAAGTGGTTGCTGTTTGAGATGCATCTACCAGCTGAAGCTTTGGAGGGTTTCAGGAGGGAAAAATGAGTAAAAAAAAAAAGGCAGAAAAAAATGGGTGAGGATTAAAACGGCCATACCCCTGGTCTTGTTTTAGAGAACGTGTGGGACCCTCAGGAAAACCTACTTGCCTAGGCATCTGTCACACAAAAGATGCTGTGCTGACAAACAGCTGAATGTTTGGGTATGCGCTTACCAACGTGTCGGTGCACGGGGTACGGCGTCCCAATACCTTCACTGCATATGTGATGAAGTAGTACGTTAATAAAGGCATTTCCCTCTACAGTTGCTAGTAACCCCGACTGCAGGAGGGAAAGCATTTCAGTTACCACAAGTTAAATCTGGTCCTTTTCTCTGTCCCGCTACTCAGGGGTTAAAACTTCTGTTGTTATTTTCTGTATTGATGGGTTTGGACCACAACAAGTGAGACATTCGTTCAGGTCTGTGGCGGGACCCTTATTCACAAACACTGGGTTCTCACTGCAGCCCATTGCTTCCAGAAGTAAGCTCGGCCTTTGGTTAGACTTCCCGGAGAAGCTACAGAAAACCTTTCTGGGAACCTCTTTAAATGAAAGATGCGCGTGGAGTTAAGTGTATTCTGTGCTCCTGTTCCATGTGAAGTGGGACAGACGGTATGTGGGATAGAGGAACAGACAGTAATTTAAAAAAAGGTTGCAGAGATGCCAACTCCTTAAACTAGAGGAAGGAAAAAGGCCGAGCGTGGGGTGCAGGAAAAGGTTATTAAAACATCTGTTTACAGTCTATACATGAAACCGTTTGTGTGGGACTTCAAAAATACTTAGTTTATCTCTGGCATCAAGGTAGCTTGACGCAAAAAGCAAAGATTCAAGGCGGGTAAATACAGCGCAGAGAGCTTTGAAAGTCCCCTGCGGGGAAGTAAAGCCTCGGACTTGAGCACAAGTGACTGCTGCCCCGCTCGGCTCCTTGGGCGGGCTGGTGGCTGCGAGGTCAGCCTCCGGCCACGGGCAGGACGAGCTCTGGGGGGAGGCTGGGGACGGGTCTGGCGCGCAGCTGTGGGAGCGAGTGCCAGGTCACGGCCTGCCTGGAAGGGGACCAAGGACAGACGTCAGCGAGGATACGCGCACCCGGGCTGGCAGGCACGAAGAGAAAACGGCCCGCTTCCAGCGGCAGAGCTTGCAGCAACTTGGCGGTTCCCCCGGGAGCTGCATGAATTTTCCCTGACGCCTACGACGACGACGACTCTTCTGTAATTTCATACTCCGCTTTGGGACCGTTGCTGTCTCTGAGAGGAGCTGCTGTCAGCTTGTTAGTCTGCCTTGGCATCTGGCTGCACCTCCAGCTGCGCCGTGCGTGCTGCGCCGCTGTCAGCGTGCCGCACTTCTTTTATTTCCTTTTTAAAAGGCAGCGATGTGCCGCTTGACTGTGTGGTAGAGTTGCGGAACAGGGAAATTACATTATGGGACGTTAAACATAGAAGTTAACACAACTGGTTCTCTTCAGCTAAATTGTTGCAGCTATTGAAAGAGGAATGGTCTAAACAGGAACCAGAAACATTCTTTAAGAACATGTGCATAAACCCCATAAAATTTGCTATAAAATCGTTGCAGCAGAGAATATTCCTCACGTTCTTTGTGTTTCGGGTGGCGCTGAGTAGGAAGAGTTTGGCAGGCCGATACCCCAGAACTGCAGGAAAAGCTTCCGCTTCCGCATCGAGGCTCCTGCTTCAAGGGGGTGTGGAGGGATGAATCCCACCCTGCCCTTTATTCTCACGCTGCGGCCGAGCAAGGAAGAAGTCTTGCAGCGTACAAAGAGGGTCATTAAGCACTTTTGCCGAATCAAGGCAAAGCCAAGTGGTGGCTTGTCAGGAAGGATGGCTTATGGGGCAGGACTATGCGCGCGATTCCCATTCGGCAAGAAGTAGTACTGAATTTTGGGTACAGGAGCACATTATGCAGTGTCATGCACTTCCCAAGGGAAAAGCCACATGCGTTAATCCTCATTAACTATCTTTGATGTGTATATAGATCCCTTTTACGCACCCAAAATGCTTCCCTTCGTACTTGGTTGGAGGCTTACAGTCAGTGCTGACACACAGTTTTACCCGGCACTGAGGAACGCCACAGTACGTGAGGCTCCATCTTTGGTACCGTTTGAACACGAGGAGATCATCTTGCTTGTTTTTCCATAAAATCGCAGCTCTACCCAACCTTTTGCCCCTATTTTAGCAGGCTACCAATGTGTCCTTCGCTTCGGTTAATGCCATTTTAAATTTCATTTTTCGATCCGCTGTGTAGGTTTGGGTTAAAAGGCACAGCTGGTGCGGCTAAGGGTACGGCAGAGGGAGGAGCGGCGTGCACTGCCATCAGTCGTGGGAGGAAAGAGCCCCTTAGAAATACGCACGTGGGTCCTTACGCTGAAGTTCTTTTAGGGGCGAGATGGAAGTTGCGTCCGACTGGCGAATCCTCCTAGGAAAGCATGACCTTAGCCACAGTGAATCCAGGCAGAGCGCGTACCGCGTGAAGCAAATCCGCCCGCACGAGTGGCTCCGCGAAAACCGCTCAAACCGGCTGGACTACGATACTGCCTTGGTCAAGCCTACGGAAGATGTTAACAGCAAACCGCTCTGCCCGCTCTGCCCGCCTGCCCAAGGGAGGCTGCCCTCTTTACCCGGGACAGTCCTGCCGGGTAACTCGAGGGGGGGCACGACAGGCATACGAGCGCTGCTGGTTTTCAAAGGTCAGACGGGGTCGGCATTATTTTCTCTTAAATCCAAACACACAGAGAAGGATTATACCGCACAGCCTCTGCCTCCTGCACGTTTAGATGAAGAAGCCAAACACCTGAAATGCAGGTTCCCAGGGTAACAGCCCATCTGGGATTAGGTGGCCGACTTCTTTCCCTGATGTCAGCGTTGAATTATTTCTACTCTGCCTGCAGCCATGAGCCCTGCCCACGGGTAGGATCCTCTTCAAAAGAACAGCTCTTCAGTCCATGCCCTGCGTGTGGGAAACAGTGACCCAGCTACCGCGTCTGTGCGGAGCGGCACAGCGACTTAGGTTTCCATTTGCAGCCCTCTCTCTCTGTTGACGTTATGTTTTAAGTACCGTGCAAACACCTACGAAAGGCAGCGCTTCACGGACACGGATTCTTGGAGGTGCTGGCTGGGTAGTGCTTAGGGACATGGTTTAGTGGGCATGGTGGTGTTGGGTTGACGGTTGGACTCGATGATCTTGGAGGTCTCTTCCAACCTTAATGATTCTATGATTCTATGGTCCTGGAGAGCCTCAGAGCTTGATGAACACTTAACTGAGAAACAACCAAACCGCTTGCTTTCTCTGGGCAAGCCGCTCTTGCCACCCTCCAGAATCGTAACTGGATCCTCTTCCCAGCTGAAAGCTGCGGCGGCAGGCAGCGGGAAACGTTCTGCCCCGCTTCGCGCCTGGGGAAAAGACGAAACCAGACCACGGTACTGCGCCAAGCCGAGCCAAGCAAC